TAGTGAGACCCTGTCTCAAAACTTAAAAAGGCTGGGGGTGCAGTGCAGTGGTACCCACCCCCGGGGGGAACACTTTATAAATGTGGTAGAACCACCCCAGAGAAGGGTATCTTAGACTTCCATGAAGTGTGGTGAAGTGCATCGTTCAAAAATGAACAAAACAGTTGGGTATCTTCAAAAATAAGATATTTAGGGCTGTAAAAGCCATAGCCTTTTTTTTCATCTTAGTTTCACGCAAAAGTAACCTGGTAAGAGTCTAAAGTAGATGACCGGCTGCCTAAGAGTCCAAGATTAGGTTTTCCTAATGCCACAGTAATATACAGTACTTCTCTAGGGCTTTTAAAATCATTTTTCCATTCCTTTTCCAACTTCAGGGCCCAAATTTTCCAACAACTGAGTTTAAACTCTTTAGTGGGCCCTTAAGTGATACACTAAAGCCTAGGATAACCGTAACACTTCTGACTTTCACACCTTTTTCTTCAGTTATTAGACTAAAATCTCCACTGCTGTATATATTTCATAACTCAAACTTTACCCTCTCCACCACCAACCTGACAAAATAATATGTAGGAGGAAAAAAATGGACATACAGTACCTAAGTCGCCAAAGCCACTTTAGGAACATAAAAGGACTGCAGCTCTAATTCCATAATACTTTTTACAAAACTCAGTGCTGACTAATGAAAAGGTAAACTTTTTATTGTAAATTGCAAGCACTGATATGGTGACAACTCTTGTGGTTACTTTTTATATCACTGTATATACCCCCATAGAAACAAGAAAACATCACATAAGCTCTTATTCATATATTGTATGTTTGTTATCCCCTGCTCCTAGCAACAATCCTAGATTTCATTCCAAACTACTAATCTTATTCAAAATTATTTTTCTTCCCTATTACATGCTCAGCCAAACTCTTCTTTCTCTAAAAGGCTTTTCTTAATAATTTTCAGCAAAGACCACAATGCCAAATAAAATGAAAGGTTAGATCTTGTTATTTTCAAAATGCTCTTAACATAGTCTACCCATTACTGCCTGTTTTATTCAAGCATAGATTCTTGAAAGAAACAAACTGAAACTATTCACTTACCAATCTCCCCTAAATTAAGAAACATTTATATAATGGAAAATACTCTGTATTCCAGGAGAAGCTTATTTCGCAGTGTTGTACAACTCTCATGTTATTATCAAGTTTTTATTATATCCAGCAGTGATTTTGAGTTTGACATTTTATAAACATTATAGTAGAAGGAAGGATGAAATCTTCATTCACAGTCCTTATGAAATCCCTCAAGAAATAAGGGTAAGAGGCCCAGAACCCAACATTAATGCACATGTCTTCTAAAACAATGTCTGGAGATTTCTTTAACTGAAATACCAAATAGTTTCTCTGGTGTGAAAAACTATAATAGTACACAGGATCCTAATGAGAAAATTAATAATGTGAAATAGGAAGTAAAGGGCTAAAGGTGTAGGGAAAGTGGGGAGGGTGGGGGAAAGGTAATAAGGGAGAGGAAAAAAATATGAGAAATTGAAAAAATGGAAATAAAGTGTTTGTAAATGGGGAGGGGAGGAGAGGGTGAAGGGAGGGCAGGGACAAGGGGAAAAAATGAGAATCAAGACCTATTATGTAAAGGTACAGAATCCCAATAATGAATGTAATGGTATTGTATACCTAATTGTACCAATAAACTCAATAAAAAGAAAAAAAAAAGTAATTTATTGAACGATATGCAAAATATAAAAAATAAATAAAACAATGTCTGATATTTACCACAGCAGCCTGTACTAGCAAAAAACTGGGAGAAAAAAAAATCATGCTCATGAATATGACACTCATTCAATTAGGAGGATATATGTATCCACCTGTTAAAAGAAGGTGACACGTGAGTTCAAGGCCAATCTGGGCTACACAGTGAATTCAGGGCCAGCCAGAACTACAAAGTGAGACCCTGCCCCAAAAAGAATAAAGTGATACAAATACACTGTACTGGTATACAAAAAGCTTCCAAATGTAGAATGTGTAAAGACTACCACCATCTAAACCAAAGGATATATGTATCCACCTGTTAAAAGAAGGTGACACGTGAGTTCAAGGCCAATCTGGGCTACACAGTGAATTCAGGGCCAGCCAGAACTACAAAGTGAGACCCTGCCCCAAAAAGAATAAAGTGATACAAATACACTGTACTGGTATACAAAAAGCTTCCAAATGTAGAATGTGTAAAGACTACCACCATCTAAACCAAAATATACCTAATTTATTTACATCTTTGGGCTTGATTTTTTTTTTTTTTTTTTTTTTTTTTTTTGGTTTTTTTTTTTTTTTTTTTTTTTTTTTTGGTTTTTTGAGTCGGTCTCACTATGTAGCCCAGGCTGGTCTCAAACTCACAGCAATCCTCTTGTTTAGGCTTGATTTTTGAATCTACACAGCAATATTAAATTGACTATTTTTAGATTTTACTTATCCACAGCTCACAGCCTTAGGAGCCCCATATCACTGAAAGCCCCATGGATAAGAAAAATATTCTACAGCGATACCACAATGTTTTGAACAAATCAAGATGTAAGAGGGCCAGAGATTTAGCTCAGCAGCGTTGTGTCTGCCACACAAGCGCAAGGTCTTGAGTTCAATCCCCATACCAAAAAAAATTTAAGAGTTCAGCATAGAGAGGCTATTTTGATTTCAAAGCTGGTGCTCTAGCCTAAAATCAGTCAACTTTGCCCCTTTCTACTGTAGAAACCAAACTTAAGTAATATTTATTAAACACTGTGTACCTGACATTTAGCCAAGTACTTCATATATTTAGTGATTCATGATGAAAATGATGAATTTCCAATGTACTGAAATAAAATTTTTCACATAAAGTTTTTCATATTTGTTAATTTAGGTTTCCCATAAGTAAAGTAAAAGATACAAATCTTTTTTAAAAGCTGACAAGTAGGCTGGGGATTTAGCTCAGCGGTTCGGTGGCCTGCTTTGCAAGCGCAAGGACCGGAGCTCAATCCCCGCTACCAAAAAATAAAAGCTGACAAGTTTTTTAAAGAGACAGTCATTTGTTACCAACTGCCCTTTTTATCTCTAGTGGCCTATTTTTCACTATCATACTACTTTTCTCCTTTCCTAATCTACAACAAGAGTTGTTAACAAGTAGATTGTTTCACTTAAATTTTTGTAGGCTGGGGATGGAACTCAGTGGCACCACGCCTGCCTGGCAAGAGCAAGGTCCTGAGTTCAATCTCCAGTAACAACAACAAAAAAAGTTTGTTTTCACTTTATTTCTACAGTTGGATAGTATGTGTCAATCCTTCAATTTGGTAATGCCTTTTGGAATCCCATCCAGGAAAATATCCGGGTAAAAATGTTTTATTCTGTTCCTACAAGTATTTGGTCATGTTTCTAGCAGAAGCTATTAATCTTTAAATCTCACTATACCTCATAAATGAGATTTACACAAGGTTCGGTATTCTTCCTCTATTACCTCATCAGAATTAGAGGATTTCTTTCTAGCCAAACATTTTTTTCATTTTTTGATGTTGTTGTTGTTGTTGTTGTTGTTGTTGTTGTTTTTCTACTCATGGTGTCTATTTCCTCTAGGAATTTGTTCCTGATTTACCCTCCTGGTCTTCTCACTAACCTGACCATCAAAAGAATTCAAGAACTCAGAGGCCTTAGAGAATTGAGGCAATTTTATTCTATTTTTGCATTTGTTTACTAAACAATCTTTTCCATTGTGGTCAAAGGATAGGAATTGCTTATATACCATCATTGCTGGCCAAACATTAAATACCCCTTACCAAATTATAGAAGCTTTTTAAACCAAATCCTGTGTAACCAGATTACTGGAAGAAGTAATATTCTCCCTTCCCTCAGTATAATAGAGTACTGCCAAGTATAAACTAAACGCTTGAAGCCAGTGGACTACACTTTCAAGAAATGTACATTTGCATACTCTTTCCAAGTTTTGCGCATTCCTAATGAGGATCAATCATGTTCTACAACTTATTTCTACCATTTGTACTAGTTACTGTCATCACATGATTAACTACAACATAAACCAACAAAATATAAACATAATCCAAAAGGTGTGCTGGGCTGAGGATCTACCTCAGTGGTTCTGCTGCCTGCCTCAAAAGTGCAAGGACCCGAGTTCTATTCCTGGTACCCACCCCCCAAAAAAAAACCACAAAAGGTGTGTTATGCTCTGAATGTTGTGTTCCCAAAAATTTCATGTTGAATTTCTACACTCGATCTTAGCCAAGAGGCCGAGAAGCGATCATGTTGAATTTCTGATCACCAGATCTACTGATGGCATTAGAAGTATGGGGACTGTCAGAGGCGATTAGGTCATTTCGTGAATGGGAATAGTGCCCTGGTAAGACCCCCGACAGAAAGCATGTCCTTTTACCACAGAAGAACACAGCTCTAAGGTGCCATCTGTACAGACAGCAGACCAAGTCTTCACCAGAGTACCTTGATCTTGGGCTTCCCAGCCCTCAAAACTATAACAAATAATTGTTTTATCAGCCACTCAAGTCTACGTTTTTTGTTATAGCAGCCCAAAAGGATTAAGACAAGGTGTTTGTACAGGTTACGCTGAATGTTTTGGAAAGACTCAGTAAAAACAAACTACATAGACAAGATGGAGACTATAAAGAAAAAATACATATACATTCTATAAGCTACATGTCTAAAATCTTCCAAAATCTTTGAAACAAATTTAGAGAGCACGTTATTGATGTGGTTTGTGGAAGATACTACAGAGTTCTAATCAAAGAACCCACATCCAAAGAAAAGACAAATCAAAATATTACTACTTTTTTTGTTGTTTTTTGTTTTGTTTTAGCGGGGTCTTGCTATATCCAGGTTGGCCTCCAACCCAAGGCAATCCTCCTGCCTCTGCCTCCCAAGTGCTAGAATTACAGGGGTGTGCCACCACACCCAGCTACATTAATTTTTTTTGGGGGGTACCAGGGATCAAACTCTGGTCCTTGTGCTTGTGAGAAAGGCAGCATAGCCACTGAGCTAAATCCCCAGCCCACATTAATATTTTTAAACTCAAAAAATCTGTTTATACAGTATGTTCATTTATGATTCCCCACTTTTTCATTCATCAGGCAGAAAAGGCTTCCACTATACACACATAGGACTGACTTCCCCTCAAAGAAAAATCATAGGTATACCTGAGAGGAAATAGTGTTTGACTCACTGTACCAAACTCAGTCCTCTATAATCTTGAACAAGTTAACCAAATGTTTCCTCGTCTAAAAATGATACATTGAAATTAAACCTACCTCTGGCCTTCAGGTGTAGTTCAGTGGTAGTGTAGTTACAGCATATATGAGGCCCTGGGTTTAATCACCATTACCACTAAAATAAATGAAACCTACTTTGGGAGGTAACGAACACAAATATGTTTATAGCCTTGATGGTGGTTACAGTTTCACTAGCATATACCTATTCTGAAACTCATCAGCTTGTACATACTAAATACATACAGCTTTTTACATGTAAATCATACATAATTTGGGGGGTCCACCGGGGATTGAACTTGGGACCTTGCGCTTGTGAGGCAGGCAGCAGAACCAGAGCTAAATCCCCAGCCCCAAAAGTGATATTTTAATAAATGAAGTGGGTATAAAACTTTAATGAAGTCCACCACACAGAGCTGAAGATGAAATAACAAAGTATTTCCCATGGTCCCTGGCATAGTAAATACTTAAGGAGTGTGTCAACTGTTGGCAGATGTACCTACACTCAGCTCTTACTGGAAAAAGTAGCAAATTCAAGATTGAGAATTTTAAGCCCTAACTTGAAGACAATTCAATAGAACACTAAAAGTAATGAGGCATTAGGCAGAGTACGACATATGTGCATTTCCAAAACCATATGCATCAGATTAGTTTCCATTCAAATTCACAATTATAAACCTAGGCCCTATCCCAACTCAGTCTCCAGGCTTTATGCAAGGTATTAATATTTATTTATACATTTATTTTGATATTTATACACTATTGTTTATACTAATATTTGAGAAGTTCCATCAAGTAGCTCTAATGAGAATAACGGCAAAGAGCCACTCCTAAAAAGATAGCACTCTGGCCTCTAGGGATGTCACTCAGTGGCAGAGCACTTGCCTAGCATGTGCATTATTGGTGCTTTCATTAGAAATTATACAATTAACTCAAATGGTAAAATATCACTAAAAATACTTCAGTGGACTAATGAATTAGCCAAGCAGCCAAAATAAAACTGATGAAATTCATATTTGTGGTAAATATTGTAAAAGTGGGAGATACCGATATTTCCTATTTAAATAGGACTGTATTTCTCAAAGATCTGCATATGTGAATGCAAATATCATTTCTACTGAGTGTATTAAAGAGAACTGTAGGGCCGGGGATTTAGCTCAGTGGTTCAGCCGCCTGCCTCTCAAGCTCAAGGACCCAAGTTCCATCCCCCGTACCAAAAAAAAAAAATTTTTTTTAAAAGATAGAGAACTGTAACACATGCATCGTCAGCATTAAATTTCTAACTCTGCTAAGGTCTTAATGTTTTTTCCTTTGAGACACATGACTTTAATATATTTCCAATGTAGTTGCCCAATTTCGATACTACTGATACCTTGAACTGGAAGATTTGGGGGGAAGGGATGGGCACAGTGGTGATCATGGTGCCTTTTAAGACATTTAACAGCATCCCTGGACTCTATCCACTATATGCCAGTAGAATTCCACCAAAACTAAAATGTGTCCAGATCACTGATTGTCCTAGGGACCCAAGGGAGGGGGGCTAGATACAATCACTCCAAGCTGAGGACCACTTATCCAGTGAATGTTTTTTCTCACTCTCTTCAGACAATTTTCTCTATTTTCCAGACCCAGTAAGCTAGCTTAATTTCTTCACAGGGGACAAGAGAAATAGATTTAAAAAAAAAAAAAAACTTACCAGCTACTAATTTTTATTACAAAGAGACACAATGACATTGAGTGACACAAGTACTTCTCACTGCAACACATTCATAGACCTGGGACGAACTGCCCGGCAGCTGGAGGTAGGAGAACTGCTGGGAGTCTGAGGCCAGCCAAGGACAGCCTGAACTACATAGCAAGATTCTGTCGCCAAAAAAAAAAAAGCACTTACCAGTAGTGTTGTCTTGAACAAATCACTTACTCTAAGTCTGTTTTCACATCTGCAAAATGGGAATAACTACTTTGCTATATTAAATACAGTGTTACAGCTGACATATAGGACCGCAATAAGTGATGGCTATTTTACATCATTACCTCAAAGCATCAAAGGATACTGTATATCCTATGCAACGCTATTTTCCATACTGCAACATTATTGTACATTAGAAACACAGGTGAGACTTGATAGACACTGAACATGCCCACACACCCCTCTCAGAAAGATCCAGCAGTCGACCTGGGGGTTGGGGCGCAGTGGTGTTGGCTAAGTTCTTTATTATACTTGATTCTGTTATATTTTCACTCTGCCGTAAAACTCTGTAACATTCAGAGAGAAGAAAGAAGCGATTCATAATAACAATTCAAGCATACAAAATATTTCTCATACCAAACAAAAACTACTCTGAAATACTGGCATCTTGACAATTTATTTTGAAGGTCATTTTAAAAACAAAGTTAAAGACAATCTGAGAAAAAAACTGCACAGAATACACTCATTAAATAAGTATGGCAATTAAATCAAAGTAGGGGAAATATGTTCTCTTCAGCAATTCAAGAAATAATTTTTTTTGTCCTGAAGGTTCTTATAATTCCAAAAAGGAGAAAAAATTACGCAATTAAAGCTGCCTCTTAATCATGTAAATCTATAGTAGCAACCAAACTTTTCTGTTCTTCCCAATAAATCAGTTTCGATCTTCAAATTGTGCCTTATTTTTTAAAAGATACGATGCTAGAAATTCAATGGGATTTGGTGGTCTGTAAGGGAAAAGAAATTCAAAGTTTAGAAACATATTTTAACTGTACTGTTTTATAGAGAAAACACATCTTTTTAATTTTTATTTTACAGTCAAAGGCTATTGCAGTACAAATGATAAATGAGACAATATAGTTTTAAGCTGGGCGTGGTGGCTTATGCCTCTAATCCCAACACTCCGGCGGCTGAGGCAGGAGGATCACTGTGAGTTCAAGACCACCCTGGGCTACACAGTGAGTTTCAGGTCAGTCTAAAGTACACAGTGAGACCGTGTCTCAAAAACAAAACAACAACAACAAAATCAATATAGTTTTTTTGTTTGTTTGTTTTTTGGGTTTTGGTTTTTTTTTTTTTTGGTTTTTTTGAGACAGGGTCTCACTATGTAGTTGAGACTGACCTGTGGAATTCACTATGTAGCCCAGGCTGGTCTTGAACTCACAGCAATGCTCCTGCCTCAGCCTCCCGAGTAATGGGATTACAGGCGTGCGCCACCACTCCTGGCCTTCAATATAGTTTTAAAAAGAAAAATTTTTATGGCTTAAAACTAGTTATGAACACAATTCTAAACAACACGGGCCAGGGATTTAGCTCAGTGGTTCCGACTACCACCTCTCAAGAGAAAGGTCCTGAGTTTGTTCCTCAGTATCAAAAAAATAAACAAACAACATGAACACTAACAATGGACTGCTCCAGGAAAAATAATAGCAGAGGGGTCACAAGGAAGACTTCTGGAGTGCTAGCAGGATTTTATTTGGCTTCTTTTTTTTTTGGTACCAGGAATTGAACTCGGGTCCTTGTGCTTGCAAAGCAGGCCACCGAACCACTGAGCTAAATCCCCGGCCCGTATTTGGCTTCTTCATCTGAATATACATTACATAAATATGTTGTTTGTGAAATTCATACCTATGAATTGTGTAACTGTATAGGTTTTATCAATCAACAAAACAACAAAAATCACTTAAGACAACAGATGTAGCATTACTACAACATACAGCTGAAAAACTCATGTGAATAACTAAAAGAATCAATACTTATTTAAACAAATTCTATTATTTTTGTTTACTATTTGGTTTTTTGTGGCAAGATCTCACTTTGTAGTATAGGCTGGCCTTGAACTCACTATGTAGCCGAGACCTGGCCTCAAACTGGCAGAAATCCTCCTGCCGGAGCCTCCCAAGTGCTGAGATTACAAGTGTGGGCCACCATGCCCAGCTTTCTTTTGTTTTTTGAGACAAGGTCTCTCTATGTATTTCATGCTGGCCTTGAACTCACTAATTTTGTTAGCTCAAACTGCCCTCTAGCTCATAGCACTCCACCAGTCTCAGCCAGTGGTGGGATTATCCAACTTACCTTTCTTTTTTCAAAGACACTTCTATCTTCAAATAATTTAAATTAATTCTGCCAGGCATGGTACACCCATGGTAATACGTGTAATCCCAACATTCCAGACACTGAGGCAGAAGGATCTCAGTGAGTTCTAGGCCGCTACGTAATGAGCATAGTGAGCTCAAAGCCAGCCTGAACTGGATAGCAAGACTCTGACTCAAAAAAAATTTAGGGGCCAGAGATTTAGCTCAGTGGTACTGTGCCTGCCTGTCAAGCGCAAGGTCCTGAGTTCAAGAAAAAAATTTTGAAATACTACAACCAGAGCATATCTGAGAAGTGTATTCATAGTAGAGGTATTACTTCATATTTACAATTTTTACATAAGTTATTCTTGCTGAGAAAACAAGTCAAAAGATGAAATTAGAAGAAATACCTATTTTAAATTCTACTATGAAAGGGCATATTGGACTAATTTGCAGTGATCTCAAAACATTCCCTTTGC